TCAGAATCAACTTGATGGCTATGGTTTGGTTTTGGCTTTGACTGGGTCCCACACGGAGAGAGTGGACACTTCATCCATCCACCCATTTCTGAGGGCCTGTGCAAGGTACCAGGGTGGAGGTTGGAGACAAAAATTTATTAAGCCACAAACATATGCTTTAGATTTTCAGACTGACATTGAAGGTAAGAACAGAGTGAAGTAACCATTATGTGGTTAAGTATCAGGAAAAAGAAAGAGGGAAAAAAAGATCATTCAGAGAAGGAATGGAAACAGATTCAGTCCTAATGTTAGTATATTTATAAATGAAACATTTATCTTTCAGTAGTATTGAAATGACATAAAAAAACTGACTGACAATTGAAAATGACAAAAGAATTCATAAATCCAGTGGTTATGAGAACCACATCAAACTCAAACTTTTGATTCCAGCCTTGATTTAATTTAGAATTCTGCTTTCCTTTCTGTCCAACATATTTCCAACAGAATCAATTACATCAATTTTCTTTTAAGATTTCAAAAGTCTGCATTTTAAAATCTATTAAAAATGCACTTTTTTCTGATTACAAATGGGAAACATGCTCAGTATAAATCCAGACCCACAATGAAATACACGAAACTAGCTTATAATACTTCTAACCAGAGAGAAAAGAATTTATCAGGTTAAACAAAAAATATGTAAAATTTTGTGGGTGTGCTACTTTATAATGAATAATCTATACTTCAAGACAAAAGAACTCTGCTTGTTACACACTCAAGAGTATGTTCTTTTAAAGTCTAACAGATGCTTACTTAACATACAGTATCAAAAGGAATCAGAGTAATGCATGAATAAGAAGAGCTGTAAACTAACAGGTTTCCAGAAGAATTCTGTGTAACCGCTAAATTAGGAAAATATACTAGAATAACTTTAAACGTGTTTGGCTGATCACCTTGCCAAAACTGCTCAAAACCACAATGTGAGAATGCTGATGCATAAAATGCACATAGTATTAAAAAACGACTTCTTTATCTCAGTCAGACTATCTCTGGGGTCACAGTGATAGTAGTGATGCAAAAGATTAAGTAGGAAGCTTAGTGTGTGGTGAGTTTATATTAACAATATTAATGAGAAGGAACAACTCAGAAAACGTGGGCGAGAATGGTCGCTCAGCTCAGAGAAGGCGACCAATGTCACAGAGCTGTACATGCAGAAACTACTGAAATGGCTGATGTTCTGCTGTGCATAGTCTCAGTAACAACAAACAATTAAAACAAAAATTACTACTCTGAACACTTGGGTTTTATATGTAAAACAGCGCATGTATTAAAGAGAGGGATTTCCAGCAGGGTGCTGCAGAGCAGAGGTTTCCAATCCTTTGTGACTGTCAGCACCTTCAGTGCCTCAGTAATGTTTTCAAAGGGCTTTTAAAACAACTTATGTAAAAAAAAAAACCCAAACAAACAAAAAACAACAACTTATGTGCTGTGGAGTTGGAGCTGACTCACAGGTGACCCTCTAGCAGGTTTTCAGAGGCTATAAGTTGAAGAGAGGAGACTGCCCTTCCTTCTCTTGTGGAGAACCTGGTGGATTTGAACCTTCTGTCTTTGAACTGACAGTGAATGTAACTCCATAACCATTAGGTTACTAGAACTCCCAGATGTTAGGTCCGAAGTATACCTACCAGTTCTAGTCACTAAATAAAAACAAAAGCCAAAACAAATAAACAAAAAACCCCAGACACAGAAACCAGTTGCCATATAGTCAGGCTTCAATGGTAACCCCACATGTCAGAGCAGCACTATGCTGACATAGTTAGGTGCTTGACAGCTGATTTTTCATAAGGAGGTCACCTGTCCTTTCTTCGAATAAGCCTCTGGGTAAATGTAAACTTCCAAGAAGAGACCTTTTTGTCTCCACTGATTAGATGTAGTGTTCATGTAAAAAATCTGTTTGCTACAGAATGAAGGTTTATTTCTAGATTCTAAATTCTATTCCATTGATCAACGTGTCCATTGTTACACCTAGCTGTTTTGATCACTGTAGTTGTATAATCATTTTAGAATCAGAAGTGTGAGTTCTGTCCCTCTTGAGCTCTTTTCTTCTTTAAATCAGTGTAGCTAAAGGTTTTATTGCTTTCAAAGAACCAATATTTAGTTACTGATTTTGTTACTTTATTTCTGTTTTGACCTTTGTTGTTTATTTTCTTAGTTTAATCTTTTTTCCAGCTCATGGTGCTGTTTAAACTGTTAATTTAAGATCTTTTTCTTTCTTCATGTAGGCCTTTCCTGCTATTAACTTTTCCTGAGTACTTCCTTCACTGTATCACATAAGTTTTGCTATGATGTGCTTTCATTTTTATTTGACCCTAAGAAGTTTGTGATTTCCTCCTTGACCTATTGGTGGTATAATAACAGTATATTGTTTGGTTTTCATATGTTTCTGTATTTCCAATTTTTTTTCTTATTAATTTCTGCCTTTCCTCTGCTGTAGTCAGAGAAAATACTTTTATTTCAATATTTCCTAATTTAATAAGACTTGCTTTATGACCTAACACAAAGCCGAGAGGAAGATTCATGTGCAGTGGTGGAGAACGTATAAACATACCCATCACCATCTTATTATTTGACATTTTGCATTTACAACAGTAAAAACAAACTCTGCTATACAACTATTTTGCACATTAACAATATACATCTGGCAGTAACAAATATTAAGATGGCCAGCCAAGAATAACACTGGCAGTGATGGTGAATGCTATGTGTTAACTTGGTTGGGCCATGGTTCGCAAGGATTTTGGCAGTTACAGAATGACGTGATTTGGCAGTTATGTAATGGTGTAGTCATCCTCAGTGTTGTGATTTGATGTAAACATGCTCCATTATCAGTTATGTTGATTTTCATATAATGACCTAGCCTTTGAAATCTATGCATCCTGCTCAATGAGAAGTGTACTGTGCTGTTTGTCAGTGGAATATGTTATAGATGAGGAGCTCTGGTGGCACTGTGGTTAAGGAAGTTAGTTGCTAACCAAAAAATCTATACTGCTCTGTAGGAAAAAGATGGGACTGTTTCCTTAAATATTTACAGACTGAGAAACTCTAGGGGACGGTCTACTCCGTCTCTTGAAGTCACATGCATCAGAACTGACATGATACCAATAAGTGTGGTCGTCCATATTTCTGTTAAGTCTAGTTGGGTTAGAGTATCATTCACGTACTATTTCCTTGTTGATCTTCTTTCTAGATTTTCTGTCCAATTAAAAATGTGGTATATCAGTCTCTGACTGCTACTATAGAATTATCTATTCTTTCTGTGAATTTTATTACTGTATGAAGGAAATAGCAAAAAATAAGGCCCACGAATAGATGGCATACCAATTGACGTATTTAAGCTAACAGATGCTGCCCTGGATGTGCTCACCAAGTTGTGCCAAGAAATCTGGAGAACAACCACTTGGCCAACTGACTGGAAGAGATCTATATTTGTTCCCATCCCAAAGAAGGGCGAACCAACCGAGCATGGAAACTACAGAACAATATCATTGATTTCACACGCAAGCAAGATTCTACTGAAGATTATCCAAAAATGACTGGAACAGCACATCAGCAGAGAACTGCCAGAAGTCCAGGCTGGGTTTAGAAGGGGTCATGGTACTAGGGATATTGTAGCTGATGTTAGATGGATCTTAGCTGAAAGCAGGAAATACCAGAAGAATGTTTATCTGTGTTTCATTGGTTATGCAAAGGCGTTTGACTGTGTGGATCATAACAAACTGTGGCTGACTCTGAGAAGAATGGGAATCCTAGAATACTTGATCGTTCTAATGAGAAACCTATACTTGGACCAAGAGGCCGTCGTCAGAACAGAGCAAGAAAACAATGCATGGTTCAAAATTGGGAAAGGCATACACCAGGGATGTGTCCTATCTCCATACCTTTTCAACCTGTATGCAGAACAATTATCCGAGAGGCTTGGCTATGAGGAGAAGTATGGAGTCAGGATTGGTGGAAGATCTATTAACAATCTGCGTTATGCAGATGATACAACCCTGCTTGCTGAAACTGAGGAGGACCTGAAATGCTTGATACAGAGGGTCAAGGACTGCAGCCTTCAGTATGGATTGAAGCTCAATGTCAAGAAGACAAAGATTCTCACCACTGGACCAATTGGCAGCATCAGGATGGATGGTGAAGAGATTGAGACTGTTAACAACTTTAGTCTGCTTGGCTCCATGGTCAACACTCTTGGCACCAGTAGCCAGGAAATCAAAAAACATACTGCGATGGGAAAGTCTGCTGTTAGGAACCTCTCCAGGGTACTGAAGAGCAATGGTGTCACTCTGGAGACTAAGGTGCATCTGATACAGGCTATGGTCTTTGCAATCACTTGTTATGCATCAGAGAGTTGGACAATGACTAAGGAGGACAGAAGGAGAATTGATGCCTTTGAGCTGTGGTGCTGCAGAAGAGTATTGAATGTACCATGGACTGCCAAGAAAACAAACAGATTCACCCTGGAGAGGGTTAAACCAGACTGCTCCTTGGAGGCAAGGATTCTGAAACTTCATCTGACATACTTTGGACATATTCTAAGGAGGGACAGGTCCTTGGAGAGGGACATCATGCTTGGTAGGGTGGAGGGACAGCACAGAAGTGGAAGACCCTCTATGAGGTGGACTGATTCAGTGACTGGGGTAATTGGGATGGGGTGCCAGAGGCAGTGAGATTGGCACAGGATAGATCAGGGTTTAGGGCTGTTGTAAACAGGGTTGCTATGAGTTGCAAGCGACTCAACGGCACATCACAACAACAACAACAACAATACCTTATATATTTAGGTGCCCTGATCTTAGGGGCAAATATATTTATGAATCTTACATCTTCTTAATTGACCCCTTTTCGACTATACATTGTCCAACTTATATTTAAGAATTAATTCTAGAAAACAAGAAGTAGTCCTACTGTGGGAGCATCTATGCTTTTGTGAAAGTTTATTAAAACAAACAAAAATCTGTGCTCACCTGTGGTTAAAGGCAGATGGGTGATGCTGTTCAAACAGGTCAGGGTGAACCATGTGGATGACAGAGTAGCCCCAGAAAACAGGAGGAGAAGGATTAGTTTCAGCATGCCCCTGATAAAATCGGCGAACCTATAAAGAAAAGACGTTTTGTTCACTCTAACTGGATTTGTTCATACTTTTGCTATCTGTTCATACTGTTTATACACGTTCATACAATTACTGAAGTGACACACTTTCATTAAACAACAATTACTAGATAGATCTTCCATTCATTGTTTTGAAAGTAAGGCTGTGTGTGTGTGTGCTCCTTTCCCTCTAAGAATGGTTTTGTGGTAATTTTTCCCCCACCCCGACTTAAAAGATAGATTCTAAGTTTAAAAACAAACAGCTCTGAAATACCACTTCAAGTTTTCTGTCATATTGTCTGTAATTCCCAAACATGTGTTGTCAATAAACCAAAATGTACATGGTTTTAATCCATTAGCTGTTCCTTGGGATAAAGCTGGGTGATTTCCCTCTTGTGATTTACTAACTGAAAATCCATGGAGGGTTAGCTACAGGTTGGTTTCAACTCAACAGTAAACAACAACTACTTAGGTTTTAGGCAGATGAAAAATGGAGAAAAATTGGGCATAGTTAAAAAAGAAATGGATTAAAAAAGATTGACACACAAGGCATTAGCAAGATGAGATGGATTGGCATGGGCCATTCAGAATCAAATAATCATGTGTTCATAGTAAAAAAGACTATTTCTTGATCCCTCCTGAAATACGATGCTGTTAGTGATGGGGATAATATCCATATGCATACAAGGAAGACCTATACCATTGAAATACAGGCAAACAACTAAAACCAAAAAAGGAGAAAACAGATAGTTTTTACTAACTTTAGCAGTCTGAAATTGATCAAATTTGCAACCAAGGTTCATTAATAATAATTGGTGACTAGAATGCAAACACTGGAACAATGAGGAAGGACCAGTAGATGGAAATTACTGGCATGGTGACAGATGAGGCTGGAAACAGAATGAATCAGAGGGATTACATCTGTGGAAAGAATCACTGGAGAAGCTCAATGTCAATGTGCAAACTTGGCCAGGTGCTCACTGTGGAACAGACCATCAAATACTGCTGTGCAAGTTCAAACTGACGCAAACAAAAGAAAATGAAAACAAATACGCAAACCCCAAAATATGACATTGAATCTATCCCCTTTGAATTAAAAAAATTATCTCACGAAGAGATCTGAGGCACTGAGCACTAATGTATGAAGACCAGATGAGCTGTGGAACAATAATGAGAGTTATCACCCATGAAGAAAGTAAAGGTCATTATACAGACATGGGAGGAAGAAAAAACCAATATGGGTATCAGAAGAAACTCTGAATATTGAACTAGAACTGAGGAGTCAAAAGAAAGGGAAGAAATGATGAAGTTAAGAGTTGAAAATATTTCAAAGGGCAGCTCATGGAAACAAAGTATTACAACAAAACGTGCAAAAAGCTAGAGTCAGAAAATCAAGAAAAGAACTTGACTGACACTTCTCAAGCTGGAGGAACTGAAGAACAGATTCAAGGCTCAAGTTGTAATACTGGAAGACCCAGGAAGCATTAAAAGATGGAAAGGATATACAGAGTCACTGTAGCAAAAAGACCTGGGTGACAGAGAATCATCTAGTAGCAGCATATGATCAAGAACCAATGGAAATAAAGGAAGACGTTTAAGTTCCTCTGAAGGAATTGGCAAAGCATAAGATCTCAGGAATTGATAGAATACTAACTGACATATTTAAAAAAACAGATACAGTCCTGGATGAGTTCACCAGGTTCTGTCAAGAAATCTGAAAGACCGCTACCTGGCCAACTGACTGTAAGAGATCCATATTTATTCCCATTTCCCCAAAAAAGGTGATACAACAGAATGTGAAAATTATGGAACAATACCATTAATAATACATGTTACAAAATCTTGGTGAAGATTAACCAAAAACAACTAGAATAGTACATTTACAGAGAACTACCAGACACACAAGCTGGGCTTGTAAGAGGCTATGGTACTAGGGATATCATTGTTGATATCAGATGGATCATGGCTTAAAGCAGGGAGTACCAGAAAGATGCCTAGTTGTGTTTTTTCAACTATCAAAGACATTTAATTATGTAGATCATGACAGATTGTGATAACAATAAAAATGGGAATCCCAGGACACTTGATTGTGCTCATATGAAACCTATACCTAGAGCAAGAAGCTGCTGTCCAAACAGAGCAAGGGGATACTGGTTCAAAATCAAGAAAAAAGTGCATCACGGATGTATCCTTTTCAATCTATTTGTTGAGCAGATCATTTGAGAGGCTTAACTTTATGAGGTATTTATGTGGTATCAAGATTGGAGGAAGACTCATCAATAGCCTATGTTAGCCCACAACACAACCCTGTTCATTGAAATGGAAGAAAACGTGAAGTGCTTGCTGCAGAAGATCAAGGACTTCAGCCTTCAATATGGACTGCATCTCAAAATCAAGAAAACAACAATCCTTACTACCAGGCCAAAAGGCAGATCATTTTAGATGGAGAGAAGACTGAAACTGATAATGATTCCATCTTGCTCGGATCCACAATCAACACTGTTGGCATCAACAGTTAGGAAATCAAAAGACTTCTTCAGAGTGCTAAAGAGTGATGATGTCAGTCTAAAGACTAAAGTGCACCTACTCCAAGCCATGGTCTTCTCAATTGATTATTATGCATCTAAGTGCTGGTCAATGAGTAAGGATGACAAAGAATCAATGCTTTTGTGCTGTGGTACTGGAGAATATCGAACATACTATAATCTGCCAAGGGAACAAACAAGCCTGTCCTGGAGAGGGTAAAACCTGTTTGCTTGTTGGAGGCAAAGCTTTATTATTATTATAATGAACATTTACAGACATTTTGGATTTCCATTAATTTACTGTTGCACTTTTCTCCCTGCCCCCACCCCCCTTCCTTCCTCTCCCTGAAAAGTAAAAGAAAAATTCTTTCTCCACTATGCAACCTTCATTCTGGACTCTTGTCATAACCATAATACCCTATCATATATCGCTTTTGAAACTCCATCTCTTGTACTTTGACCTGTTGCCAGGAGGCACCAGTCCTTGGAAAAAGGACACTACATTTGGAAAGACAGAAGGTCAGCACAAGAAAGAAAGATGATATACAGTGACTGGGGAAATGGGGTCAGGTGTGTCGGAGATAGTAAGGTTGGTTCAGGATATGGCAAGGTTCAAAGCCATTGTTCATAGAGGGTCGCTATGAGTCGTAGTTGATTTGACGACACAACAGCAACAACAGGAGCCTAGTGGATAGGGGGCTGCAATGCCAACCCGAAATTACATGGTTTGAATCTAACAGGTGTCCCATGGGAGAAAGACAGGTAATCTCCTCCTGTATGATTTACAACCTCTGAAAAACCACTGGAGCATTGGTTATGAGTCAGTTTTGACTCAATAACACACAACAGTACCACTTCTCGTTTTAGAAAATAGACTAATTTATTGACATAAACTTGGGGAGATATGGCTCTCCCAAGACTTAAATTAATTTAGAACAAATACAAATGCCTTCAGTACAGCCCTGAAGACTCTAGGTTACCTGGCCTATGCCCCCACTCTCCCTTGGCCCATGCTTCAGTTAGACAACCCTGTTTCTGTACCTCCTAAGTAGTACGGACACTCCTCACAGCAATATGTGGCCTTTCTACTTGTTCTATATCCATGTGGAATGGAGGCATTTTAGAGCTTCCCATGACCCTCTCCTATTGATCCATCCTTTGGGTCTTCTGGACCTTAGCTTTCAAGAAGACCCCTGTGCCCAATCAGTAGAGAGAAGGCTTCTTTATTCCATCATCAGACACTTATTTTCTTCACTGTATTTATCTGTAGTAGAAATTCTCTTGTTCTGTTGTTTGTCTCCTTGCTAATTTTAACTCTCCCCTTTCAGGCAGTAGAAGCTTTATGAGAGCAAGAACATAGCACCTGGTAGGGTGAATACCCATAGGCCCACTGCCATCGAGTTGATGTTCATAGAACGGTAGAGCTATAGCTATCCCACAGTGATTTCAAGGCTGTAAATCTTTACAGAAACAGATTGTAACATCTCTCTTCTGCAGGGCGGCTAGAATCACCAACCTCTGAGTCTGCTGCTGAGTGCTTTTACCAATGTACTACCAGGGTTTTGGATAGTGCATACCATTCTATAAAATTTATGATTAAAGTTTTAAAGCATTTTAAGTTCTTTGAATCCATTCTTTCCTCCATTCAACATTTATAAAGATGCCTCTTTTGGTTATAACCAGAAAAATTTCCAAAGACAAGGGCTGTTTGCCATCTGATTGACCACTGGTTACAGTTACATCTCTTTGTTCTTACTGAAGAAAGCCAATCCTGCCCTAAATATACAGCATTTAATCCACCTTATATTTGTAAACTCACTTTCACTTCTACAGCAGTTACTGTGACTGTCCTTCTTAATATTTTCAATACCATCTTTTTTTGTCACTTATCTGACATGATATATAATTAATTACTCATGCTTGCATTAGCCAGACTAAAATGACTTCTTGTGAGAACTGGCGCCATCTTTTGGTGGGAAAAATGAAGACAATTTTGTCCAGGGATTTATTTTAGGTTTACTCTCATCTATAAAAGTTCCCTTGGAAAAGTAAAATTCTTCATTGGTATACAATCCACCCCACACCGTCATCCCCACCCCGAGTATACTCTACTCTGCAACCTTCATTCCGGACTCTTATGATAATCATTATGCCCTATACTGGGGGGCGGGGAGAAAAGTGAAACAATGAATGAATGGAAATGCAAAATCTCTGTAAATGTTCACTGAAATTAATAACAATAATATCAAAAAAATAGGACAGACATAGGGGGGTGGGGAGAGAATGAAGAAAGAGTGGCTAGATAATGAATATTGCATTAGATCAGATGAGGGGAAGAACTGTCTGAAAGGAATATATGATTGGGCATTTTATTGGGGGTGGAGGGGAAGTTCCCAAGTAGTTCCCATGTCTTAGGTACTCTGAGAAAAGGTTCCAAAATTCAGCAGGAAGTTCCATCCAAATATAGATATAGATAGAGAAATAGAGATAGAGATAGATAATTCTGATTTAATTCTATGTTTTCCAAACATTATTCTGATTTATATTTTAGTATTCTGTACGAGTTTATTCATCAGGTAGGCAGATGGTCAGGGATAGAAGAATAAAACAGCTTTTAGTCCAAATCAGAGCTGAGGAACTCTGACTTTTGAGTGTCACAGAGTTTGGTAAGACAAGAATAAACGGACCACGGTGCACTGCTATTCTGGAAAACACAGTCCCTGGAAATAAGCTGATGTCATCAAAGTGTATCATTAGGATCAAAGTCGTACCAAACTGGCCGTTAGCAACATTACATTTTACAAAAAAACACCCAATCTGTAAGAACATTACATTTCTAGATCGCAAAGACGATGCTATGATAATAATTTAAACATTAATTTAGGCTCAGGAGATACCTAAAATTTCTTTCAGATTCCAGACTAAATGCAGTATTTTTTTTTCTTTTAGAAAGTCTACTTCAACAAATTAAAAACAGAAGTGTCCTTGTTCTAATTTCTTCCATGAGTTCTATCTATATATAGTTAAAATTAAGGGTTTGGAAAAAGAAAATTAAGATAAAAGAACATATGAGATGCTATTTCTGTTAGATAATGGTTCCTCTTTTGACCTTTTTGGTGCTCAGAATAGTATGTAATCAATAATGACTCACTAAAATTGGCTGGGAGATTTAACTAGAAAAATTATGTACGATTCTTGCCAAATATGACAGATCAATAATGTTCACTATCAGTGGAATGATTTCTCACAAACAGCTATCTTCCTATTCTCCTTCTCTTGATTTTTTTACTTTATTCTTACATTTTCTCAACTGATAAAAACATTACATAAAGTGATTTAGCAAATATAGTGTCAATTTGTTCTTTCATTATCCCAGAAACAATACACACACTGTAGGGGCTAGTTGGATTATTATCCTGTGTCAACTAAGCTTAAGTATTTAGCTATTGACGCTCTTTAGATATCTTACTCGATCTCCCCAAATATGTAATTAGATTCTGCCCATCCTGGTCGAGTTGATTGCCTAATTTTGTTTTGATTAGGGAGGGTAAAATGATTTAGGATTGAATGAATATTATTTCTTTGAAAACACGAAGAATGACTTTTCTAGTCAGTCACCTGAATAAGTGACATTTTCATTTCTTTTTTGGAATAAATGAAGCCTTTTCTCTTCTTCTAATTCATTCTAAAATTGTGTTGTCATAATGAATTAAGATCAAAATGGTATAATCATAGGAACATACCTGCCAAAAGAGACCAGACATAAATACCAGGTAATCAGGACAAAACCTTGTCACGGAATGTTTTGGAGATAACTCTTTCAAATGATTATTTTAAAATATTTTCTATTTTCAATTATAATTAATTTATTTTTATATCACCTTTCTTTTGGTTTAATTTCAGATTATATTTCATAATAATAACAAGAGAAGCAGCTTAATTATGCCAAAAATACACATCTAGTCTCCAGAAAACAAAACAAAAGACCATTTGGGGAAGGGCTACTTCTAAGAAGGAATTATGTGGCAGCAAATTCTATCCACTGCCTGAGAATCTGCTGTAGCTTGAGCAACTGTACTCTCCTGCCCTAGGCACTCTTGATTTTAAAGTGTTTATTTAGGGGAGTCTGTTTTCCTTTGAGCATTATTTAGAAACTTCTGTTCACTTACATGTGAAACATGAAATATTCTTACCTTGCCATTGCTATTCCAACAACACAGCCTCCAACTATGGACCAAAATCCAATCCAGCCAGCATCTACCTGTTAAGAAAATAGTAGACAAGAGATAAGACTCTCATGCTTCAGTGGTGTCCTGATGGCACAGTGGGAAGCTATCAGACTGCCAACTGAAAGGCTGATGGTTTGAGTCTGCCAGTCGTTCCATGGAAGAAAGATGGGTAGTCTTCTCCCATACAGTGTTAAATCCTCAGAAACTCAAGAGGGTTATTATGAGTTGGAATTGACTAGACAGCAGCAGTGGTTGGGGTTTTATGGTTTGGTCTCATGCTATAATTTAGAAAGAATAAAAAAACCTCAAACACAACCAAAAGCAAAAATCCAAAGATTCTGTAAAATAAAAAGATTTCAACTAAATGACAAGTCTCAGAAATGCTAGCTAACAAAACAGACAAAAGATTCATGTGTGACTAATTAATACAAACAAGTACTTCTGTCTAGATAACTATGTTACTGATTAAGTTTTTATTGGTCTGTTTCCATCAAGAAAATTGCTAGTGCTGTCAAGTAAGTATTTTTCAGGTTTGTATTACCTGCCTACCGCTGCACCAAAAAAGACATCAGAAAATAGGAAAAGCAAAAAACATGGGTCACCAACCTAAAAAAGTTTAAATACAATCAACAAACACAAAACAATGGGCAAATAATTAAGTGCTAAAACATTAGGCAACAACTAAATATATTTTAAGAGATCAAAAAAGAGACAGAGAGAAATGTGGGATCAAGCCCCTGGAGGAGACAGCATAAAGAACTCAAGCTGGGTTTCAAACACAAAGTGCTCTCATCACTTGAGAAAAAATTTCTGGCCATGTCATTTACTCTATCATGTGATGTCTTCAAGAGGGGTCAATCTTTGAAAAAAGACACCATGTTGGAAAAGTAGATTAGAAAAAGAGAGGAAGGTCCTCCGTGAGACAGACTGACACACTGTCTGTAACAAAGGGCTTAGGCTTGGAGGAGATCATGATGATGGTGCAGGAGAAGGAGAAGTTTTTATCTGATGTTTATAGGGTTTCTATAAGTCATCATCAATTCAATGGCTCAAGTGAGATAATTTATATACAGCATACAGATTAGGGGCTGGCCTACAGGAAGTGCCTCAAAATTGTTTTTATTTTGGTAGGTGCTGCTGAGTGTGCTCTAAGTGCTCTACTTAGAGCAGAATGAAACCCTGCTAATTCTGCCCCATCCTCACAATCTCTGCTGTGCTGTGCTGTCCCGTCAATGTACTGAGCAAGAGCCTGTGGTGATGAAGGAGAAAGTTCACGCTGCTCTGAAAGAATTTGCAAAAAACAAGGCCCCAGTAATAGATGGCATACCAATTGATATATTTCAACAAAGAGATGCTGCCCTGGATGTGCTCTCCAAGTTGTGCCAAGAAATCTGGAGAACAACCACCTGGCCAAATGATTGGAAGAGATCTACATTTGTTACCATTTCAAAGAAAGGTGATCCAATGGAATGTGAAAATTATCAAACAATATCATTAATAGGACATGCAAGCAAGATTCTGTTGAAGATTATCCAAAAACTACTGGAACAGCACGTCAAAAGAGAACTGCTAAAAGTGTAGGCTGGGTTTAGAAGGGGTCGTGGTATAGGGATATTATAGCTAATGTTAGATGGATCGTGGCAGAAAGAGAGTGCCTGAGGAATATCTATCAGTGGTTTACTGACTATGCTAAGGCGTTTGACTGTGTGAACCACAACAAACTGTGGCTGACTCTGAGAAGAATGGGAATCCCAGAATACTGCACCATGCTTATGCAAAACATATACTTGGTCCAGGAGGCAGTAGTCATCAGAACAGAGCAAGGAAACACTGCATGGTTCAAAACTGAGAAGGGTGTATGCCAAGGATGTGTGCTATCTCCACACCTTTTCAATCTATATGCAGAACAGATTATCTAGGAGCCTGGGCTCTCTGAGGAGAAATGTGGCATCATGATTGGGGGAAGACTCAACAACAATCTGCGTTATGCAGATGACACAACCCTGCTTGCTGAAATTGAGGAGGATCGGAAGCGCTTGCTGCAGCCTTCAATATGGATTGAAGCTCAACATCAAGAAAACAAAGATGTGTGGTCAACTCTCTGCTGACATCTTCCTGGGGGTTCTATTCTGCACATTTTCTTCTACAAATCAGTAAGAAAGAGGTAGCCTAGTGGTGTGGCGCATAATGTATCAGACTGTTGACCTAAATCCACCAGCGGCTCAGAGGGAGAAAGATGGGTAATCTCCTCCTATAGAGATTTCCAGCCTCAAAACCCCACTGGAGACAGTGGAGAGTCACTATGAGTTGGAGTGGACTGAGGGTGATGGAAGAGGATAGCAGCAGGCAAGAGACTTCATCAGGTATATTACAAAGATGATTTAAAATATCCAACTAACATTTAAAAAGATACTATGGAAGAAACTAGAATGGCATATAACCGTGCAACCATCCATCTGCAATCCACTGCCTTAGAGTCAGTTCTGACTCAAAAACATCTTCCAGTGGGTTGTTTTATTTTTTAAAATATTTTGTTATTGGTTTTCATATAATAATTCCTTTACATTACATTGTGTTTCATTCATACATATTGTGTTTTAAACAATCTTTCCTTTATATTGTGTTTCAAACTATCATTCATATACACTGTATTTTACTCTTTTTAATTAGTTTACCAAGTTTATACACATTTGTGTTTCACACTATTCTTCATTCACATTGTGTTTTATACAATCCCTCCATAGGGTTTTGAAGGCTGTAAATCTGAAAAGGAGATTGACCATCTTTCTCCTGAGGAGCAAGTCATGGATTTGAGCCAACAACCTTTGGGTCACAGTACAACATGCTTCATACAAGACTGACATTACCAAGTACTGGTATTCATGTAGAAAACATAGCTATTTGTGAATCTGTAAATTGGCACAATCACATTAGAAAAGTTCAGCATCACTTACCAAAGTATGCAGACACCATAACTAATAATTCCTGTCCTAGATGTATATTCAATAGAAATGGGAACAGAAGTGCAAAAAGAGACACATAGAAGACACTGATACAGGCACTGCTTATTAACAGGTGAAAACTGGAAATGATTCACATGCTCACTAAAAGAAAACTGAATAAATAACTTGTTTTTTCATAAGATGGAATATCACACTCATAATATGTGCATTTCTTCCACTTACTCCTCCAAATCTCTTAACTCTTTTCTATTTACTAATCTACTTATTAAGAAATAAGTGGATTTTTTCCACTTAATCCTTCAAATCTCTCTTTTCCATTTACATCCTCCTAACTGGGAGCAAGAAGGAAGAACTGATGGCAACAAGCTGAAATGACTATTTTTTAAAATTTTTCTTTTATTTTTATTATTTTTTGAGTGTATACCGTCAAATCAGATCTGACTGGTACAGGAGATTGCTCCTCCTTTTCCAACAGAACATCTGGTGGATTCAAACTGTGTGCCTCTGGAATTGCAGTGCAGCTTCCTGCCACTAGGCCACCAGAGCTGAAGTGTCTATTTTTAAAAAGACTAGCATACTCTGGTAGTGCTCTGTCGATGTGCTGTTCCAGTCGTTTTTGGATAATCTTCAGTAAAATCTTGCTTGCATGTGAAATCAGTGAAATTGTTCTGTAGTTTCCACATTCGGTTGG